CCACTCAGGGATGAATGGAAAAGCTAGCGCGATAATGCTAATGAAATAACAACAGCAGCCTCCGGGCTCCTAACAGGCCACGGACTGCGGATGCATCACAACTTCCCAGAAGAAAGACACCTCTGTCAGGTCACGCACGTGAGTCACCTCTCCAAGCGAGAAATGGGAAAATGTGCAAAACAGTGCATTTCAGAGCGAGACCTTGGAACAAATACCTGCAAGGTGCCAGGTGAGTTCCACATCTGACTCCCCTGAGGAGACAACAGAAGGAGCCAAAGTGCACAAGAGACCGGCCTCTCACCAGCGCCTGGGACCCCCGTGCCCACCTGTGTCTCCCTTAGGACAGGGTCCCACCCACAGGACAGAGAAGCCTTCCCAGCACTCCTCCGCCTCCACAGGGCACCGGTGCTCACTGATCACGTCCTGTAATATGAGGGCTTCCCCACCTCAGCAGTCTGCAGGTACAGAAACCATAGCACCCGGGTGACAAGGTGACGCCAACCAGAACAGCAGCAGCCGACATTCTTGGTGGCCGATGCCGTGGTCTGGACGGTCTGAGTGTTGCCCAGGGGCCCACTGTGATGAAGGCTTCGGTGCCCAGAGCCGGGGGGATGTAGGAGCCTTGCAGAGGCCCCGGGGGAGGCCCTCCAGTCCCTAGCCCTGCTCCTGGGCGGCCCTGACTGTGGCTCCTCCCGGAGGGGTTGGGAAGGACGGAGCCTGGCCCAGCTCGGCTCCCACTGCTCCTGGCTTGAGCCCCATCCCTTGCCCCTGACACACTCCCGCCACTGCGGTTCAGGGGTGGCCCCAGCCATGATGCTTGGCTGTGCCCTCTGGATTCGATCCTCCTGAACTAACAAACAACAGCTCTGTGTAAGTGACTTTTCTTGGGCACTGCCTCACAGCGATGAGAAGCTGACCGATGCCAGCTCAGCATCCCCATCTCCATTGTCTACAGCAGATGGAGGTTCAGAGCTGGTACAAAGCCCCGAGGCTGCAGACACCGGGCAATGCACACCTCAGCCCTCGGCTGGCCACCTGGCTGGAAAGCAGGGGGATGCCCACCTCCTCCCCTGGTCACAAGGCTGAACACGTGCTCGGCTCCTCGCCCCAGAGCTGGCCCTGTGCCTTTCAGAAACACATGCCATCAACGAGGCCCACTAGGTTGGGAACCTGATGACAGCGGGCAGGGCTCCCCCTCCACCCCATGTCTCCCGATGCAGTGACAATGGGAGGCAGGAGCCCCCGACAGCCAGGGAGTGTCACCCTGCTCCTCCTCTTCCTGTGACTCACAGTGCACCAGCACCGCTGAGCCCAGCCTTTGTCCTTGACCAATACTCGGCCTGGCTGGACACATCGAATCCAGCCACCTCAGGAGCAGGTGTCCACCAGAACTGGTGCTCTGGCTTTCCCGAGTGGGGCGCACACCTGGAGGTCCAGAAGGGAAACAGGAATTGCCAGGTGAAAACAGCTACTTTTATACCAAACAGCTGCATTTCCCTTTCTTGAAGGACCTGGTCTGCCCAGGCCCTCTGCTGTCCCACACTGGCCTCACCGTCCAGTGCTCTCCACCCTGGCTCGCTGAGCATCTCTGGCTCATGTCCTCTGCTCCACGCCCAATGCCAGCACCCTGCTGCTGGCTGCTCCCCTGTCCTGCACAGCCTGGAGCAGTGGCTCTCCACTCTGCCCAAAGCCCGTTCAAGGGACGCAGCGCCCTTACTGTCTCTTCCTGCGGGGTCTGTCATCCAGAAGCAGTAACTGGCGTGGAAAATTCCCAAATGTATGGACCAACAGTCCACACATTTGGACTGAATGCCATTCTACCTCATGTGATAAAATTTGGGTGAAAAAGGGAAAGTACAATACAGTGTTTTAAGAAACAGGCTACATTCATGTGACGTTCATGATAGTGCTGTATACTGCTAGAACTGCTCTATTTTATTACTGCTGTCAATGTCTTACTGTGCCTACTTTAAATTAAACTTTGCCATAGGTCCGCAATGGCGAACCTTGTAGAGCTTTCAATGATAAAAACAGCCCTCTGTGGCATGTGTGCCACAGGTTCCTACCACTGCCCTAGGTATATGTGTAAAAAATCACATGTAGGGTTCGGGATGATCTATGGCTTCAGACTTCCTGGGACCTTGGGGAACCTCCATAATGAGGAGTGCTGTGTGGTTCCTACCTTATCGCTCAGATCACCCCACACTCAGCCAAGGGGGTCTTCTGCAAATCTGTGAATCTCAGCCTATCTCCTGAAGCCCTGACCCATCTTCCAATAGCCTTGGGATGAACCTACAGCCAAGACGTGTGAGAGCCTTCCTAGTCCTCTGGCCTCATTCCCCACAGCTTCATCCTTAATCATCCGCTTTATCTGGCCACCATCAACCAATGCAGCCTTTGCCTAGCATGCACCTACAGAGACAGTTAACTGCGCAAACCACAGAAACCTGAGCTCACCACCTCACAAAGTGGAAGAGTGAAATCACGGACAAAAGGAGGAAGTACGGAGAGTATATAAGGAAATAAGCAGAAAAATAGTTCCTGGCTCTTAGGAGGGGGACTCTGACAGCGCAATTCTGGGGTTCTCCTTCGTTTTGGTCCTTGTACAGATAAGCAGAGCACTGGAACTTGTTTAAACAGGTTTAGAAAAACAAGTTGGGGTTCAGGAGTCTAAAGAAAATCAGATACTCAGTTGGCCATGTTCAAAGGAAACCCAGTTTAAAGGAAACTGGTTGCTCTGCATTTTTAAGTCCTCTAAGTCCAGCCCAGAGGTAGAGAGGAGCTGTCAACTAACCACATATTCTGCCCAAGAAGCTGGGTCCTTATCAGCCCATTCTTACCTAACTTGTCACCCTTTTCCCTGCATCTGCATGCACGTTTTTAAGCATGACCAGCTGTATGGCTGGAATTAGCTCTTCACTTGGTGCATGTGAGATTTCCTTTGCATCTGATGGACTCTATCTTAGGCCCTGCCCCCGCTACACTACTATGTGCCAGGCGCTGGTCTGGGTGCTGGGAGACAGAGGATGTGTAACAAACAACAGCCCTATCTCACGGAGCATAGGTTCCAGCAGGCAGGACACAGAGGGACCAAGAGCAGCCTGTGGTACCTGGGGTCCTGGCCTGCTGGCTGGCAGCACGGTGGCTTGAGAAGGCATTGTAGGTGACGAGGAGGTGGCGAGTGATGCTGCAAAGCGATGTTAGGGCGCAGCTGAGATGGATGGAAGGCAGCTTAGGCTGTGGATTAAACGGGACCCTTGGGCACAGTCTCGCTGGCAGCTGAGATTTGGGAAAGACTGGAAGGGCTTTCGGTCTGGCACATGGGACAGGTGTGGGACCAGTGTTCAGGGAGCGAGAACCTCAGTGAAGAGGACACAGGCAGAGGCCACCCGGGCTGACACTTCCTTCAGTGCTGCCTGTACTGTCCTCTCTCTGGACCCAGGCAGGGACAGGCCGGGGCTGACATCTCCCCACCAGCACCCCTGACCAGCCTTGCCTCCCCAGTCCCCTTTCCCGGCCCACCCCGAGGCCCAAGTATGCTGTGTTCAACAGGATCAGACAGAGTGCACGGCTCAGCAGTGTGGACTCTGAGGCCAGCCTTCCTCAAGTTGGGTTCTGTCATCACCACACTGAGTGATGACAGCCAAGCTGCACACAGACATCCCTGAGGGCCACCTGAGGCCACCGGGGCCAGCTGGGGGGGGAAGGGAGGGGAGGGTGGGGTCTGGCTATTTACGGCTTCATCCCCAGGGCCAAGCCAGAGGCTTCAAAGGTAACCACATAATGAAAGAATGGATGGCTGGGGAAAAGTGGAAGGTAGGAAGCGGGAGAGGGAAGAAGGAAGAGGGGAAGGCAATGTGGCAGGAGGGAAGGAAGAGAGAGAAGGGGTAGGAAGAGGAGAGGGGGAAGGAGGAGAGGAGCAGAGGGGAGGAGGGGCAGGCTTCTCTTCTGAGGGTCTCAGGATATTCAGGTTTACGAACAAGAGAAAATCACACTGAGGAAAGGGAGGACACTGTTATTCATTAGATAACATGCAACGCAGAGCCACTGTCTGCTGGAAACACTGAAATAAATCCCACCGGGCCGCTGCTACCGTGGCAGTCCTTCACCTTCACAGAAAACGGCAAACGGCCACATGAAGTGGTCATCAAGCTGCGGTGAGGAGGCTCACAGGAGAGGACGGAAGCCTCTTCCCCAGCCTGCCGGGTAGAAAGCCCTTGGTGCCACCCCAAGGATGCAGACTCCACGATCCGGTGCACGAGCCACACGCACCCAGCAGCAGAGCCAGAGCGCCGGGCCCAGGAAGATGCGAGGGGCCAAGGAAAGAGGAGACAGTGTGGGGCCAGGACGTTCTCCAGGAGGAGAATCAGCCACAGCGGGAGTCAAAACCCCAAACGAAGCGGTGACTCTGGTGAGTGTGCAAGAGACTCTCCTCACACATGCTCGGGTGACAAAGAAAGGCCTTTGGCTGACTCGCAAGACAGCGACCGCGCACACAGGTCTGGAGGGCTGACCGAGCACCGCCCACAGTTCCCAACCTCTGACACACTCGGATGTCCTAGTGAAACAACAAACCAAAGCGCTGATGAACAAAGGGCCGAAGAACATTTCCAACACTCCAAAATCAATACTCATTCGCCTATCTCAGAGGCGTTGTTGGCAATCAGAGTATTATATTTGATGAAAAGAGAAAAGCAATAAATGCACATAAGTGTGCCAACACTCAATTATATGCAAACAAAATACACACATTTGATATTTACTGGCTACAAAGTATCTTCAGCTGAGATCTCCATAGATCTCACTTCGTTCACTACAGAAATACCAACTCTACATTCACTCTTGAGTACTTCAAACTGAGGTAGAGTTGGTATTTAACTACATTGTAATTCCTTACTGACTTTGCCCTCGTTTGGGCTGAACTCATCTTTAAAAAATAGGCAGCCGCTCCGGCTGGCATGCTGACACCTACAGAGACACGGGAAATGAGCTGCCGTCACCTCTGAACCTGTGGAACACTGCCCACAGCTCCGCGATGTCCGTGGCGAAGGTGATGTCAGTGTCCAGGACGATGACCCTCTCCAGGTTGGCAGGGAGAGTCTTGGTGAGGACGAGCTTCATGAGGCCGTAGATCCCAGAGTAGTGCTTGTTGGGGATCCAGGAAACTTCAGACTGCACAGAGCATGGCAGAGAGAGGGGAGAAAGGGGAAAATCACCACATTAGTCTTTGCTAAATCATTATAAACCATGTCTGAGAGGTAAAAAGTATCCAGCACAAATTTTTTGCATAAATGATTAAAATTTTTCTTATAGATTTGTTCATGTGAAGTTGTTTTGGAGCAAATGTATCTGAATCAAGACTCAGTGGCACTGCACCTGCCTCACAAATGCAAGGTCCTGAGTTCAATACCCAGTACTGCCAAAAAAAAAAAGAAAAGTAATAGTTATGAAAGAATTACTACATGCAAGCCTTATGCTGTGATTTAAAAAAATTGTTATTAGAGAAGCTATACCAGTCCACTGGAGAAAAATAAAGATACACAAAAGGAAGACATCAAGATATTTGAATCAGACTATGTACTCTTTCTACAACCAGCACCTACTTGTTCCCAGGTGGGTGTATTTCTTTAAGATACATTCTATTTCTGTCATCAGCGATTACAGAGATTCCTGATTTAATGACAGGGTTCCATTCCTGGGACTAGATTGTTAAATGAATTGGTTACTGTATATGACGTGCACATTCGAGTGTTCAGAACAAAGAAGCGGTCAGAGGAAACTCCAACCCCAAGGCTTTGCTTTTATTTGTACAACTCTTACATGGAGCGCTGTCATGTGTAACAGAACATGAAACTGCAGTGCTGAACTATACAGCACAGGCAGCAAAAATTATAGCACTGTATTGCAGAAAAAGCCACCAAAAGGCCGCACTGCCCCTCACGTTCCTGAGTTTCAAGTATGAGCAGCAGGTCAGAGTCTGAACATTCATTAAACAGGCATTATCTGTACTACTGAATGGCATTTTTCTACTCTGTTTATCTGTACCTGCTAAGCTGTGTTGCGTAGGACAGTGCTTCAGTTGTCTTTTTGTTCTGAGATAAACACACAAGGAAGACCCTGACAAAATCCATGTGACACTGTCCACCTGACAGAAGAGGGTCACTCACAAGGGCCACAAAGATGACCCAAGGACTTTGACACCGTGACCCTCATGGCCCCTAACAGAACAGCCAAGAACCCAAGGCAGCCAGACGGGCAGGAAGGCGTGCATTTTGGTATCAGTGGAATCTAAGCAGAAGACGAAACAGAATCGGGCACAGTCGGGCACACGGAGTTGCTTCTGAAGGTCACGACGGGGGGCAGTTTCCATGGAGCAGAAGCACACATCTCATTTCCAAGATGCTCACCTGCAGCAGACCCCATTAGTGGGCACGGGGTCAGCACTCAAGGTTCCAGAAAAGACGCATCACCTTTGTCCCTGTAACTCCATTTAGAAACGATGTTCATTAAGAAAAAAAATAACTCACACTTAAAGACAAAATCCTCCACGTCTTATTCTGAGATGCTTATCACCATGTTATAAAAGTAAAGAAACAGCAATCATCCCAAGCCCCCAAATGGAGCAGTTAATTACAACATGGCACACTTTCATCAGATAGCACATGGTGCTGTGGCTTAAAACAATGTAGATAAAAATAAAATTTAAAAATCCTATATATATTAAAAGAAAAAAGGCAGCTAAAGCTTGTTTAAAAACCACAATGTGTTATCAAACAACACCCAGCCACATGCAACTGACAGATGTGGAGAAGAAGCGACAGATGCAGGACACCCAGCTACAAGGACCAGCGAGGTGGCAGGGGCCTCTGTCCCCCTTTGCTGGCTACAGCCACGTGCACGCACAGGTCTGTACACACACGCACACACGCACACGCACACGTAAGTGAGCTCCTAAGCACGAGCAACCACGCTTGCTGCACAGCTAAGCAGCTAAGCGCTCCGTTCTTGCTAAAGGACCAAGATCGGCGGGGTGGGTGTGCGGGGCCAGGAAGCTGCCGTGGGACCTGATGAGAAACAACCCTGGGGACTGCGCGAGGCCCACAGCGGCTCTCCGGCCCACTCCATGTTATTCCTCCCCCGGTTTAAAATGTCATTTGCAGGGCCGGGGATTTAGCTCAGTGGTTCCGGCGCCTGCCTCGAAGCGCAAGGTCCCGAGTTCCATACTCGGTACCAAAAAAAAGTGTCATTTGGCTACTCCCTATTCTCTGCTTTGCAAAGTCTCTTTGCTGAGACGAGCACAGTTCTGACCAGAAATAAAGGAGACACGCTGATGGGCTGCATCATCTCAAGGGCAAGGAGGAGACCCTGTCTGTCGCCACTGCCACCGTGTTCCTGGGCAGCAGCGGGGAGGAGGAGAAAGGGGAGGGCTCACGTGGGGGCTCCAGCCCGTGACACGTGTCTGAGCTCTCCAAGCCTCAGTTTCCCCGTCTGTAAATGGAGATGGTGGCTGTGTCAGGTCCCCGGGGAGGAGAGGACTCAAATGGCCTCTCTTGCTTCCCTCCCTTCGCTCCAAGCATCACGCTGTCTCCTGAGATGTGTTTTCTCAGCCTCTCTGGCTTCTGCCACGAACCAGAGGCAGGTCCTTCACACGGCGCTTTCAGCCCGGCAGGGCACAGTGGACACGGGGCCCAGAGTGGACATCCGAGGACAGTGTAGTAACAGGAGTGCTCACCGAGCTGCCTGCGGAAATGGAGGACATGTGGATGGCACACCACATACTGCAAGGCCAAGTGGCCAGGGTGGGGTCCGGAGATGCAGCCACATCAGGAGGCTACCTGGCAAGAGCACAGAGACTCGGCCACCTGTGGCCGTGCAGGACAGGCCTGGGAGCCACGCCCTGCCCTGCCTGGCCTCCACCTGCAGAGCTCCCAGAAGCTGTCCCTCGGCCAGTCTGGACAGACGGCAGAGGGACAGAGATGGGCCCTTCACTCATCAGCCCAGGGGCACAGCGAGGGTGTGGAGGCTCCGCAGGACAAGCCGAACACAACCAGCACAGTCTCCCTGCTGACAGGGACAGAAACAATACTTGCGGCACAAGTGAAGCCCAAACCTCCCATGTAGCAGGTGCGGGCCACAGCTGGGAGGGTGCGGGCTCTGGCCCAGGAGGGCGCGGTGTGTCAGCAGTCTAAGCCAAAGTGCGCGTTCACAGGGGGCTCCACAGCCTGTCCCCAAGCCCCGTACCTTTCTCTGGGAGCTGGTTCCCGGTGAGGCAGCCCCTGAAGGTCTGAGAAGGTGGCAGGCTCGATACAACCCCTCCTCCTGCACGCCCGGGCCTCTGGTCTCTGCTCCGCGTCTCCCCTCCTGAGGCTCTGCCTGGACTGAAGCCTGGCAATCAGCGGTCTGCACGGCAGAGCTGCGCTATTTAATCAGACCTTTGATTAACTTTTTCTTCTATTTTGGTTACCATCAAAGCAGGAGAGCGTGGTGGAGATGGAACACTAGCGCACTGGGTTAAGCCACTAATTAGATTGCCTCAGTGCTCGGCTTTATTTTTAACACACATGTGAGGCAGGCGTGTGCATCCTAAACCAGGAAGACTACAAGAATAAATTAATCTCAACATGATCCTGGGCCTGAAGGTCACCAGAGTCCCCCAACAAAATCCATAATCAATTAAGTCCGAGTGTTCACTGAGGAGTAAGGAAGCTTTCTGGTGAGTTTGTTCTCCACACCCTGAGAAAGGGCATAAAACTGAGGGATTTTCGGGGAGAGACTCTGGGAAAGCAGATACATTTGTTTTAAATGGCTCCTTATCTGGGAAGCGGGCGCCCCAAAACCTGTCCACCTCTGTCCACACTGTACTCTTCCTCTGAGGCTCACCTGGGAAGTCAGCCTCTCTGGTCACCACCTCCCCTCAGCCCAGGCAGGGCTGGGGCTCTGGAAGCAGCTGTCCTCTCCTGCCAGCCAGCAGGCTACCATGCTGTGTAAGTGTCCACATCTCTCTGGATGGAACTCCTTGGGGCAGGAGCACTGGCTTTTCCAGAACAGCTGATGGACATGCATGAGGATGGAGCCACAGTCTGTTCATCAGCAGGGAGCAGCTGCCCCATGACTGCCGAGGTCCAGAGCGAGGGCTCTGTTACAACAGTCACTTCTTCCTAGGAGCCTTAGCTTGGGTCTTCTCGTCTAAGGAATAACAGTGACATCACAACACCGCCTGGAGCTCAGCATTAGGGTGTTACACTGAGAGCCAGAATGTGCCCCAAAATGGATCCTGGGAGGCACTGGGCTCAGCAGCGGATTCACCCACTGACCCTGAATGCTTCACTCGCTGCAAGCAGGGGTGCTGGGTGGGGCGTGACCTGGAAGGTGAAGCCTGATCTGCAGGTCCCCCTCCTGCTCTGCTTCCTGGCTACCCTGAGGTGAGCAGCTGTGCTCTACCAGGCCCTTCCAGCCCCGGAGCCAGGTGACTGAATCCTCCACAAGCCATGGGCCAAAGTAAGCCCTTCCTCCTTTCAGTTGTGGGCGCAGGTTGTGTGCTGGGGACGCAAAAGTGGCCAAGACCTGGTGCCTCCGTGTCCACAAAGCCCTCTGTCGCTGTGCATCTACCAGCACCGCCAGAGCTCCGCTGGTTCAGGGTTCTGGGTTGGATAAAAGCAAGGGATTATGCTGTGTAGGAGTAAGGGGGAAGTGGGCTGGGAGACGGTTCTTTCGGGGTCAGGTCAGAGCTGTCGTATAAACGGTTCACAGAAGCACATCCTGAAACCACTGGGAATGCAGAGCCCTTGAGGTCCCCAAGGTGAACAGCACATTCCAGGCCCCATGCAGCCCATGGGCAGGGCAGTGGCTTGGCGCAATGACATGGGCACTGGCCTCCCTGACCCCAGCACCAAGTGCCAGTCCACCCAGGGTCACGAATGGGGCACCCGGCCAGGGCCAAAGAGCATCCCATCAGAGGGGGGTTGAAGGAACCTGCGGCCCCACGTGGCCTCTGAGAGCGTGCTGGAGAGGTGGCAGCTCGTGGTGGAGCGATACCCTACCATGCTCTGCATCACTATAAATGTGCCAAAGGGTTTGTGTAATTAAAAAGATCATACAAATGAAAGCCAGGCTCATCTTAATGGACAGACTATTATCCTTGCAATGGTTGTTAATTCTAAGCAGCATGGTTG